ACTAAACTAATAGCTAGTTGATAATATTATTAATTTCAAATAACCGAATACATTCATTGGGATGCATTCACTCGGGTTGTTTTAACTTTTAACACAAAAATCAGAAGAAGAAAAAAAACCTTGAACCTGACCCGAGTGAATGCATTCGGTGACAATCAGGCTGTCCCACAGATAATGTGTTTTTTTCTTGTCAGATGCGATATATTCTAAAAGTGTTCAGACCTGGAAGAAATCTCTTAGCTAGAAATATCCACAAACTTCCTTCCAGGAAGACAGTATAGTAGCACAACACATGGTAGAAGTGGAAAGTGGTGTTGTCTTTATATTGGCTGACTGAATATCTACACATAATGTGTTCATAACTTTGCCGCATTGAGGGAGAGGGGATTTGAACAGAAGTTTGCAAGAGTGAACTTGGTGGTTTTGGATCAAATAACATAACAATTGCTTTCCTTATTTCTTTCTGGGAAATTTCTCAGAAATTTCATTCTGTGTTTCTGAATTCTCTCTTACCTTTTCTTTTCTTTTCTTTTTTTTTCTTTTTTTTCTTTTTTGTTTGTTTTCAAATAAGCCATTTTACACAACTGGGCATGACTGAAACAGGAAAGAAACCAGCTAATTAGTAATTACACCAGAATAAAAGGGAAAATGCAGTGGCATCACTTTCATGAATTTGTATGCAGGAACCAAACCCTATATACAATCAGTTAATGGTCCTAGATTTATTTCCATTAATTTGCCAACCCCTTTGAACAATTCATGTACCTTGACCTTGATCACACAATCATGTCATTCATATTCCTTCAAACAACAAAACAATGTACAAACTCTAGAGAAACAAAATAATTAAAAAGAAAAGAAATAATGTATTTGAAGCAAATTAAATTATGGAATATATACATTGAAAAAGTCTAGAGAAACAAACAATCTTAAATCAGTCATATTAGTTTTCTCAGCAATTATCTTAAAAATCCATTAAGATCAATCCATTAGAGCAAAAAAAGGAGAAGAAAAAAAGCAGCCCAAATTACCCAATTTGTTATCATATCTAAGAAAAAAAACAGAGTTCCTCTGTTTCATATGTACCTGCAAAGTTTGCTCTAACCATTCACCTAGACAGAGAAGAGAAGCAACTTCCTGAACGAACAAGCGCTGGGCCGCCAACCCTTTCGACACCACCAAGAGAAGAGCTAGAATTTGACCGGAGAGCTCTTGGAGTATCCAAGCTCCGCCTAAAAACCCGACCCATGGCAAGGATGGGGTGCTCTGTTTCTTTATGCAGAGGACTTGATGATCTGAACTTCCTGCAAAAATTTATGTGGCGGTTCAGGGCTTCTTCGGTGGAAATGAGCCTATCTGATCTCAAGACTTCATCTTT